CACAAGATTAAAGTCCAACGAGCTCCTAACTAAGATGGTGGTATGGTAAAGGAATAATTTTTGAACTCTCCCCTAAGGTTTTTGGCAATGTCATTACTCGCCCTCAACTTTAAAAAAATATCACATACCTCTCCTAACAGTCAATTGGGCCCACTATTGACATTAGTAATAGTGAAATGACTCTTACACCCTACTTTGATTGAGATATATATTTTGGATTAATTACAGATTACACCAATATATATAGGCGTTGATAACAATTTTCTTCATGTTTTTACAAAATAAAAGAATGCCTCACGATGACTAACGCCATTAACCTTCTAATGATTCTCCACTTATATGTTGGATAGAAATGCCGACATTTTCATATATGTTTCTTTAAAGTTTCACTCTATATGTGTTTTTTCTTATAAGTTTAACATTCATATTTCTTTTCCTGCTTTCTCTTTCATCTTTTTTCTTCTTCCTTTTTTTACGTTGCTAGTGCATTTTATTTTATATTCAGGTGTATATGTTCAAGTAAACTTTTGATTTGAATAAGCTTCTTCTCTCATATATAGTGTCATTTATGTCATTTTAACATTTTTAACAATTAATTTATCATTTTTTAGTTATTGTTCAAAAATAAATTACTAATTTCTAGGTGAAGCATTAATTGTTAATAAAAAGTAATGTATGCTAATAACTAGCAATACTAATAAAAATAGAAAATTAATAAAACTTTTATACTATATGCATATATTTAATTTCTTATATAATTTCACATAATTATATATTCTCCTTGAAACAATAAGAATATACATTTGAGCATAAAGAGAAATGTTAATAAGGATAAAAAAAGATAAGAGGCAATAATAAATAGGATTAAAAGTGCAACATTGTTATCGATCATTTAACTTTTATTGTTGTTGACATTTATTGTATGATATGAGGTTGTTAACTTTTTCATTTATGATGTTTAATTATGGCGATTAAAATTTTTCATAAGAAATAAAAAGTATGTATTTGAGCATTAAAAATTTCTTAATATGGATACGAAAGCACATGGTATAATTGCTATACACCTGTAATTATTGGGGGCAATTTGAATTAAAGCCAAAAATTAGATATGTAAACAAACTAATGTTGAGGATAGTAAAAGGGCATTTGGGGGATAAAATTATCTTCTCTCCCATGAAATTAGTTTTTGTAAGGATCGAAGACAACCAATCGAAAAGCCAATCAATAAGCAATTAAAAGATCGCAATATAACAATAAGTAAATAAAAGGGAAAGGATTGCAAACCAATTAACTACTCAGCTCCTCTTGAACTTGTAGATAAATTCAAACAAACTACTTCAAGTTGATGAATTACAATCACTCTTGTGTACAAAGGAAGGTTCACCTCCTCCTTGCCCCGAACTCCACTCGGTCAAGCCAGGACGTTTTACTATCCCTCAGGACAACCCTCACAGAGCTACACTCATGAAAGATTCACTCACAAATGAAAAGCTTACAATGAATCTCACACCACTAAGACTACAAATCTTCTTTGAAGAGTATTTTCTCACTAAAATCTCTCTAGATCTTTTGTATCTTCAGTGTGCCAAAGTTATTTGAAATATCTGACCAACCACTATTTATATAGGACCAAGAAAGTGCCTCATTAATGCTTCCAACGGATAGAAAGTAGCTGAACAGTCAACTATCCGTTGGCAGTGTCGGACGTCCGATAGCCCTGTTTTGTGCGTCCGACAGCAGGCAGAGAGTTTAAGAGATTTTCTTCAATTCTTTCGGACGTCCGATAGGCTGGTTTTCTGCGTCCGAAGATACTCAATGGTTGCCGGACGTCCGATGCAGTCTTTTTGAGCGTCCGACAGTTTCAGCATACTTTGTCTTCTTTCAATTGCACTTGATCTTTGGAACTGATTTGCTTCATAACTGAATAGATCTTTGAAGAGATATTAGTAACATCCATTTGTTTTGTAAACATCAAAAGATAGGGATCAAGATCAACATTCTCCCCCTTTTTGATGATGACAAAACAATGGATGGAAGGAAGGAAAAAGATTGAGCATATGAGCATAAACTCCCCCTCACTCATAGCAACCAAACTTATAATTTCAGAATAACTCCCCCTAACACATAGCATTCATCTCTCCCCCTTTTTGTCATCATAAGATGAGAGTAATAACCAGCAACCATAATCCAGCAACAATAACAGAGTAAAAAAATAGAAAAATGACAGCAATCACCAACATTTCACAGAGAATTTGATATCAAAAGAAGTATCAACATATGACAGAGAGTTTTGACAAAGAAAATCATCTTTAGATCAGAATTGTTCTTTTCTTTCCCTTTTGATATCATACAGATTCAGTAAAATTCAAAAACTCATATCAAAGTATCAGAAATATCAAAAAAGAAACATTATGAACAAGAATCACTGCAATGATTAACAAAATCTCCTACTTGTTAGAGTTAGCATCATGTCTAACTATCCACATGCATTTCATGCCTTTTTTTATATTCTTTTTCACATAGCAATCACTTTTCATGTGACCTTTTTGACAACAGAAATTACACATAACCAAAGAGTTATTCACATGAACGGGTTTAATAAATCTGACTTGCCTTTTCCTATGGATAGCAAATTTGTTGGAATTAGAATTCAACATATTCTTTTGAAAACAGACTTGTTTCTTGTGTTTAAGCAACTCATTTAGACCATTCATTCTTCTTTTCAAATCACCTTGTTCCTTTTTGAACAATTCACAAAGTTTTGTTTTTCTATCAAGTTCAAAATGTAAAGCAGTCTCACTCTTTTTGAAGTAATCATTTTCAGCTTTCAACTTTTTATTTTGTTGAAAAAGATTTGCATTATCTCGAAGCAAAAAACTAATTTTCTGTTTTAACTCCTTGTTTCTAGCATAGAATTCTTTCAAACTATCATGCAATTTTATAATGAAAGATTCAAGATCATCATCAGTTTCATCATCACTTTCAACTTGAGAGTTACAAGTTGTTACCTCATCATCTCCAATGGCCATGAAAGTCAATTGAGCAGATTCTTCTTCCTCTTCAATTTCACCATCGGAGTTGCATTCATTCCATGTGAACTGGAAGTTATTGAATCTGGGTTTTCTTTCACCTTTTCTCTTCTTCACTGGACACTCACTTGCATAATGTCCAGGTTGGCCGCATTCAAAGCACTTGTCACCTTACTTTTTGTTGGCCTCATATCTTCCTTTATTTCTTGCATTGTTGAATTGATTAGAATCTGAATTGCTAGATCCTCCTCTTCTAAATCTCTTTTTGTTGAGAATCCTCTTGAAACTTCTTGTGATGAGAGCAAGATCACTGTCATCAACTTCCACATCTTCTTCATCTGGGGAGGTAGAATCATCTTCATCTTGAGATGCCTTTAGAGCAATGCTCCTTCTTACTTTCGCATCCTCAGCCTCTTGCATTTTAAGCTTCAACTCATAAGATGTTAGAGAATTAATAAGAGATTCAATAGGCATGGTATTCAAATCTTTAGCCTCCTCAATAGCAGTCACTTTATTTTCCCAATCATTGGACAAGGCATTCAGGATTTTTCTATTTTTCTCACCAAGAGAATATTCTTTTTCCAGCACCTCTAAATCCTTAATGAGGTCATTGAATCTACAATACATCTTATCAATGTTTTCATGAGGTTGCATCTTGAAAGATTCATACTTTGTAATTAGAATGGATTTCTTTTGTTCTCTAACATTCTCACTACCTTCATGAAATTCTCTCAATTTATCCCAAATTTCCTTGGCTGACTTGCAGCCTTTGACTCTAGCAGATTCATTTAAATCTAAGGCACAATATAACACATTCATGGCTTTTGCATTTAAGGTGAGATGAATTCTATCCGCAGCAGTCAGTTCACTTCTCATTTTTTGTCTAGATCTGTGAGTATTTTCATCTATAAGAGAGGTATCATAAGGACCTTCACTAATAATAAACCACAATTCAATATCAATAGACTGCAAAAAAATAATCATTCTTTCTTTCCAACTCACATAATTTGACCCATTAAACATAGGTGGTCTAATAACAGAATGTCCTTCAAAAAACATAGCATTATTGGTTGTCATTTTTACTCCAAAGCCGATTGAGCTTAATCTCTAGGAGACCAAGCTCTGATACCAATTGTAAGTCAATCTGGTGAAGCCGCTAAACTTCAGCAGTGCAACTTTTACAGCAAAAAAAAATGGTCTGATTACTGGCTGAGGGTAGGTTTACTGAAAGGCTAGGGAACAGCTATGCTGTTACCAAGGATGAAAAAGGAAAGAAGAATTAAATCACCTATGACTAGAATATTTGGAAACATGACCACGGAAAAATTGAGCAGAGAGGAAAGACACATTTGGCTAATAGGCAGCATAGTAAAGGTATAATGTTGTACCACACACCCTCCATCCATTAATTCCATTCTAAATCAATTTTAATGCATCAGACCACAGATCGTACAAGACTTGGACGAGGAAAAAAACATAATTTCAAACTCCTGATGCATATAACCCAACCTACCTAACGTACTAAATCAGCCTAACGTACTAAATCAGCCCTGCGACAACAGTTGGGTCAAAAGCTCCCAACCTAACTTACCCAAACATATACTGCAACAATATTACCCAAATATGGGTTTAAAAGGGTACTAAAATTACACTTGAATGTAATTTGAGAGTTTCCAACAATATGCCCTCCTTATGCAGTTAATAATTTCAACCACATCAACCCAACAAAACAAAAAAGAAAAATATGCCATCTCTAAAAAGTCATCACTTTTTTTTGGGCACTGCTTACAACATTTATGCAAACTTACAACATTCATGTTCAAAAAATGCATATATCTTCTTAACGGAACACTTGAACCATTAAAGGAGGAACATGTTACCATCTAATTTGCACTTTTCATAATTTTGGGCATCACTTCTTGCTTCTTAGATGATTGAAAAAATATATAACACCAGGTGCAGCACCATACGGCATATATATGGGATTTAAAAGGAAATCAATTGTAACAGCTCAAAAAAATTGAAAAAGTTGATTCCTATCTCCCAGGAAAATCTACCAACCTTAGGACGAACAGGCTTGACAAAGGAAGGTCGGACTGGAAGGCCATAAACCTTAATTTGGGAGGGCTTCAATCCAGCTTTTACCGCTCGTTTTGCCACCTCGTCAGATGGAGAGTAGCATCTTGTTACAAGCTTGTGAAACCTAGTCATTAAAGACAAATCATCAAACCTGTAGGAAAATAGGACAGTTTGCAAAATGCCCACAATTCTTACCATGTGGGATGACACGTGCACAAATCTGTCACCACAGTGGTAAATACAATCTTCTCCAGAAGACCCTTTGCTCTCAATATACGGAGTGGGACATGCTGCATCAAGGGATGTACACTAATAATAATATCTGGTTGGTACTTCATTAAACCTTTAGCAACCTCCCTGAACCAGTGAAACAGGAGCAGCATGAGACACTATATCATTTACCTTTAAAGCACCAATTTGAAAAAAATTGAGCACGAACCGAAAAGCCAGAAAAGAAGAAAGAAACATCTTTCCTCTATTTCTCTTTTCTGTTTTATCGTATTGATTAGCAGAAATCTCGATACATAAGTGATTGCTGTGAAATTCATCCATCAGGATCAGACAATCAAGCAAAGAAGATCTATAAGTTCCAAGTGTGGCTTCATTATAACCACACCACCCTCAGAGGGTCCTAAGGTTCTGCCACCACATAGGTCCGATCGGATCTAAGTAGACAAAAAATGGTGCGGAGGACCTTAGCTACCTTCTCATTTATTAGCCAAAAAAAAGGTGAGTACTAAGAAGTAAGAACTAATTTGTTTCATGCTGTGGAGGTGCAGTGCTGCAACACTAAGATGCAAAACAATTCTAGCACCATAGCAAACACTTACTATCCAATCTCAGCTTACAAAAGCCCAGAGACAGCAAAATAAAGGTTCCAATTTCCAAAGGTACAAAACCTCATTCAATCAAGTAGCCTACAAGAAATAACCTAGTATATAGGTCCAAGTATCAGTCCAAACATAAGGTGCTTAAGTAGCAACATGACAGTTTATTCATTCAGTCAATTCATAGGCGAGGAAAACCTGTTACGTCATAACAAGTATGGCACAGAAAATTAGATGTTTCATAAACATTAAAAAAGCAAGTACAGGCATGCATATGCTTTCTTTCCATGTTATTATCAACAAACTCCTAGGTCCTTATAGCAACTGAAACAAACAGTTTCACATTGGTTGCAGAAATGCAACAATGGGAGAAAATAACTACAGCAAGGAATAAGTCTCACCGAGCTATAAAAGTTGATGTTGCAGCAAAGTTGGATTGATGAACCACACGTGGGGCAGAAGCATAATATGTCATTTTCCACAAAGGTCCATGTTTCACCAAGAAGTTATAACTCCTTGGCAGTTGGTTGAAAGGCCAAGGCGTATGATCAGTCCATAAATCAGTAATATACACCTGCAACACACACTCTTTAAAACATACCACAATCAACACGTAAACACACCCATCCAACAAGTAATCCCTTTGCAGAATCAATTTACAGCAATTGATCATCAATAATAAAAGAAATATATCTATCATTAACTTCAGAAAGCTAACCTGATAATCATCCCCAAATTCTTCATTAAAGGCAGCCTTAATAGCCTCAGCAGACGCCCTGTGACCACCACCGGTGTCACTCATCAAAATTAGTACTTTTTTAGGATTTTCTGATTCAACACCATTAACAGGCACTCCCTCACTCACACAAACTCCATTGTCATCCTCCCTAAAGCCATTGCTTTCCCCATAATTAGACCCTAATGAGGCAAACCCAAGTGGGATTTTCTCACAATTAAACTTAATGAACCTATTAAACTGATTCAAAACTCTCCTAATCCTAAAGGCAGCACCTTTAGTACTCAAACTCAATGAAGCAACAGTATTTGGCTTCTTTTGAGAAAATGAACTAACTAAGCCATCAAAACGCAAACTGTTGGACAATAATGAGGAGTAGCCCTCATAATTGAAATTCCCATTGAACTTAACAGAATTATCAAGTAAAAAAGAACCCAATTGGGATGCAGAGTTCCACAAATTAATGGGTTCTTGAGAAACAGATGAAGGCTGCATAGCTTCTTTTGCTATTCTGAAATCTCAATCAATCCATAAGGGTCTTTAGTCATGTGAAAAAAAAAATTGTGGGTTTTTCTTCATATAGCAAAAAGTTTGGTTCTTTCAGTCGAAAACAAGAGAAGAGGAAGAAGACAGGGACAAGTAGTAGGGAAAAACAAAAGGCAGTGAAGTACAACAAGTGCTTGAGATTATGGCTGAGAGAAGGAGAGACTTCTGGGGACTGTATGAAAGCAAGACAGAAAGAGAAGGGAATTGGGAGCCACAGAGAGTGGATTTAGTGGGAGGAGTTTGATATTTGGAGGGATTCGAATCTATGAAAATTCTCATTGTAATATTCGGAGACTGGCATGTGATAAACGCCTGCGATTTCCCTTCTAAACAAAAACACTACTGTCTGTCTTTGGCTCGCTAGGGTGGTCGGTAACGCTAGGGTGGTCGCCGTCGGTAATAACTTAGAATTGTTAGTCTTCTAATCATTATAAATGGTATAGAAAATCGTTAGCAAATTGGATTATAACTCGTAGCATACTGAAATGCGTTTTGTATGTGTTTGACTAATAAGTGAACGGCCTTTAGGCGGTGGCCATCACCAATGTATTAAAGTTTGGCGGTTCTTTGCCTCCCACTAATTTGTCGCGTTAAAGTGGCTATGTTTAAAAAATTCAGACGGATGTGTAGTGTACCCGTCTAGTCTGGTGGCGATTCAATTCCCTCCGAATTATTTTTGGACTTTTTCAGTTCCTCTCCCTCCTCTCTAGTATAAAATAATTTATCGTATCGACAAAAAAAAAAAATTAGTTTTATCACTTTTTTTTGTAGCAAATTTTGTTTAAAAATTTCAGTGTTAAACAAGGATTAGTCTCTCACTTTTATAATGATGATATGTTACGTCTTTCATAGAAAATAGAATTTACCAATTCAATTCCAAAATTACTTTTTGAAGTTTTGTATGAAATCGTCACATGACCTACACGTGATGAATTTTAATAAATTTAAAATGTCGAATCAAGAATTTTGACCTGTCCACAAATATTGAGAATTTTGAGGAAAAGAGAAAGCAATAAATCAAGAAGTGGTATGAGACACCTTTTTTTTAAAAAAAAAAATGCACCTATTACCTGAGTTTTGTTTTATTTTTTGCAAGTGAGTTTTGTTTTTTTGAGTTTGATCGATTAACAGACATTCAAATTTTTAGCACATGCTTAGAGTAACGCCCACCCAATATCCAATTCAACCGGTTCAACCGTTGTCTAATTATTAGGTCTTATCTTTTAGTGTAGCAAAGTGAATCACTAGAAAGTGTACAAATTCGACTATATAATGCATTAGTTGTACAAAATAATTAACAACACTTACGTGGTGCATAAAAACCAAAAAAAATGATTTTATTTTTATTTTTTGGCAAATTCCAATACAATGAGTAATCAAAAGCATTAAAAAATAAAGGAGTAATGTTCCCTTCTTATAATCTAAAATAAGCTGAAAATGTTCCCTTATTGTAATCTAAAATATCCCGAATTAATATGTGCCCTTAGGGCATAGGATAACAGGTGTAGTTGTCTGAAAATTTTTAAATTTTGTAGACAAAAGTTTCCTCAATTTAGAGGGTGGATAATATCATAATAGTATTTAAATTTTATCCCCTCTATTTTGTGTACTTATCTTGTATCCTAAGAGCATAGAATAGAAAAGGTCATTTAATTACCATGAGAGAACCCTTTTTTGGCAAATCCACTTTAACTGGAATAATATATTGTTGAATTCACTTCCTGGAAATTTTGTCGAACTAATCCTTGAATAAGCTGTAGAACGCTTCGAATGTGTGAAAGATTACAGCTGAGTGGCCATTTTGAATGAGCATTAGAAACCGGCAAAGTAACCAAACCTTGAGAATCCAATTCAATGTCCAAGCAAAGAAAAAAAAAATTTTTTGTCACAACGATAACATTTCTATAACCTACTCTATTCTATTCCGGAAAGAAGAGGGACCTAACCAACGAAAAACACCATCAGAGAAAATCACTAAAAGTGACAAATCACAAATAGTGGACAACCAAAACTTAAAGTCTTGACAGTGACTAACAGATCAAATGACTGTTAGCTTTAAGCAAAAAACTTTGACATATATAAAGTTAGCTTGTAAAAATTAAAAAAAAATGTTTTTTTTTCAAATTAGGTGCCAGTAAAGCACTATATAATTTTTTTTTTTTAAAAAGTGAGCCTAAAGATGACAACAAAGAGGATTTGGAGGGGGGGAACTTTAACCAACCCCCTTGCCCGCGTTGTAGCTTGTAAAGCCTCTCCTGGTCTCACGCCCCATTCCCCATTTCCCCATCCATGCCCGCCCACTGGCCAGCCCTATGGTGGCTGCTCAAATTTTAATATTTTAATTTATTTTGTTTTTCTATACATAAATAAAAGCTATAACAATTTATTAATCATTCTTTTGAATTTGTAGCTAAATAGTCAATAGGAAATCAAGTCTAAAAATTGGGGAGAAATGAATGGATTGAATGATACAGGATGAGGGAGTGCAAGTGAGAGATTTCGGGTTCGAAACCTTCCACTTACATTAAAAAAAATAAAAAAAAAATCTAAAAACCTATTGAATTTGCTACCTCATATTTGATACCGTGTAGAATCTAAACCAATAACTGATACTTTTTTTTTTTCCTTGTAAACAACATGCGATTCATGAAATTAAAAAGAAAGGAGTAAAGTAAATTAACATAACAAATTTATCCTTTTACCACACACATATAAGTATTATTTTTTATCTAAAGCAGAGGGAGAAAAATCCCCACACCGGACCCATTATTCTACCCGTGGGCACCCACTCTGGTCGATATCCATAGGTGAGCCCCTTGTTACATCTTTAAAATTGCCTCTTTTAATTCTCTTCTATTAGATGGATGATTCATTCCTTCATAGACTATCAAAAATGACAATGTAAATTGTATTCATGTCTAGACATATCAAGGTGAGTCGGGTCTCATCTAGATTCAATCCAAACTCATCATGTTTGTAATGGGTTTGAACTCAAATTTCCAAATCTAGATTTTACCTAAATCCAGACCTTGTAAGAAAATTATGGCCAAGGAGGGGTTTGATTTAGTAGGATCCAAACCCTAATTCATACCCAAATCTAAACACTAACTAGACCTATACTCAAGAGCGCTATAATTATTAATTAATATGTTTCATTATACTTTTGTAGTATTCAAATATTTAATTTTAGCGTAATTGGCTTTGATCAACCGTAATTGGCCCCTCACATTATCAATACATTGAAAATCTTTATATAAATATATTAGATAAGTATATCATAGAATTCTTGTACAAATTCCCTATTGTTAAAAGTAATTACCCTAGTTTCCATTCTACTAGCATAAATGTCATTATTTGAAGTATAACCAAAAATTTTATCATGTTAAAAGTGGACGAATTTGTTTGAATGTTATTAAAAGAATGAGTATTATTTTATAGTTAAACAACTAAAACTATCTATCAAATAAAGACATCATAAACTTGCAAAAGAAATTAGAGAAAATAGTTTAAAACATTCCTCACATTTTGCCAATTCAATTCTTTCGTCAATCACTTTTGAAATGTTAACCTAACGCCTCTTATAAAGTCAAATTAGTAAAATTTGGTCCCAACCTATATTTCCAACCATTTTTAGCGTGAAAATCATCACGTGACTCACATACAATCATTTTTAATGTAAAAAAAGATCATATCTTACTTTTTAGTGGAAAAATTAATATAGATTGAGTCAGATCCTTTTTTTAGGAGAAAAATGAATATGATTTAAGTCATATCCTACTTTTTCAAGGGCAAAAATGAACATAGATTAGGTTATTTGTTTAACGACAAATAGGATCTAACTTTTTTGGCTCCTAACAAATGACTATGTGTGGGTTATGTGATGAATTCAAGATAAAAATTGATTAAAAACTTAGGTTGGGACCAAAAATTTTACTGACTTGATTTTGTAAGAGATCTAAAGTTACCATTTTAAAAATGAAAGACGGTAAAATTCATTTGATGAAATGTGATCAATGTTTTAAACGATTTTTTCAAAAAAAATATAACATGGCAAATTTCCCGAAAGTACGTTATAGAGTAAAAAAGAAATGGTCATAATGTATAACTAAAAGCGTGTAAGCATCTAGGAAAGTAGAGTTCAACTGGCTTGTGTCATTGGCACTTCATTTTCGCTAACGACACTAATAGAAACTTCTTGTGTTGGATAATATATCACTAAGCAACATCTATTAAATGGTGTCTAGCCACCAAAAAATTGTTGGTCTTAGATGGTACACAAAGTAATACAAATACCAAAAAAAATTACAAAAATTTGTACTGCACAAATTTTATAAAGAAATTGGAGATGAAAATGATGATCTTGAGGTATATTTGACACTATCCTAGAAGTAACTTGCCATAACCCTGTAGCAAAAGCTTGAATTGTTGGTATAGTGTGTAAATGAAATGTATAATTTACAAGTGAAACTAGAAATGTATAAATAAGATTCAAAATGTACAATTGAATCTTAAGTAATGTACAATTAAGAGTTGGAATACAAATGAGACATGAAATGAAAATCAAAATGGACTAAGTGTGAGATTTTGAAAAAAAAAATTTAAATTCTTTTCTCGTTTTGCATGCGTTAAATAATATTTTGACTTACTCCAGTTTAAATCTTTTAATTTTTAAGTTATTTTTATGGTTGAGTTAAATTTTAATTGTTTGATTTTATATTATGGTGCGTGTTTAGTTATAGTGCATTTTGGTAGTATGGCTCACTAGTAAATGTGTATTAAATTTAGTGGACATGAACGGATGTTATATACCAAGGAATATATGCCTAGAAGTGTTAAGAGTGAGCCAGAGGAACACCACATAGATGAGTAATTAGAAACTAAGAAGAAAGATCAAGAGATAAGCATTAGTCAAAGTAGTGCCACGTGTCACGTTTTCATTTAGTCTTGGAGCACTTAAGTTTTCATTCTTATCACTTCATTTGGAGCACAAAAACCCTTCATTCTTTCTTACTAGTTGGCCGAACCTCAAGAGGAGCAAGACCAAGAGAGAAAACTCCATTTTCCTTTGATTTCCTTCACCAAATCTTGAGAGATTTCTTCCAATTACCAAAATCTACCCCGATTAACTTCGCATCTAAGGTGATAGCAAGTTAAGGGTGGAGTGTTTTGAGAAGAAAAGGGTTTGCCTTAATTGTTTTCAAGGTGTTGAAAGGTATAATCATTAGAAGCTCCTTTTGTTCTTTAAATGTTGTTGGATAACTTGATTTTGATTGATTTTATGGAGATTCTTGCGATTTTAGGGTTGGGATGATAAATTTCAGTTTTATTG